TCTACAGCCACAGCAGGTGCTGTAACCTTCCAACAGTTTATTTTTATTTATTAGATTTATATACAGCCCTTAATCATAAGGTCTCAGGGAGGTTCTAATAATAATAATAATAATAATAATAATAATAATAATAATAATAATTACTTATACCCCGCCTATCTGGCTGGGCCTCCCCAGCCACTCTGGGCGGCTCCCAACAGAATATTAAAAACACGATAAAAGTTCAAACATTAAAAACTTCCCTAAACAGGGCTGCCTTCAGATGTCTTCTAAAAGTCAGATAGTGGTTTATTTCCTTGACATCTGATGGGAAGGCGTTCCACAGGGCAGGCGCCACTACCAAGAAGGCCCTCTGCCTGGTTCCCTGTAACCTCACTTCTTGCAGGGAGGGAACCGCCAGAAGGCCCTTGGAGCTGGACCTCAGTATCCGGGCTGAACGATGGGGGTGGAGATGCTCCTTTGGGGATAGTGGACTGAGGCCATTTAGGGCTTTAAAGGTCACCACCAACACTTTGAATTGTGCTCGGAAACGTACTGGGAGCCCGTGCAGGTCTTTCAAGACCGGTGTTATATGGTCTCAGCGGTCACCAGTCTAGCTGCCACATTTTGGATTAGTTGTAGTTTCCGAGTCACCTTCAAAGGTAGCCCCACGTAGAGCACACTGCAGTAGTCCAAGTGGGAGATAACCAGAGCATGCACCACTCTGGTGAGACACTCTGTGGGCAGGTAAGCTACAGCCCTTTCCCCCAAATATGCATAGGACAGGGGAGAGCAGGAGACAAATCTAGCTCTATCTAAATATTCACAAACACATCCCAATATGTTTGCTTAGCAGGACTTTCTGCAAACGGACAAGTTAATGCATGACCTGAAGCTTAGAGGGCTAAACCATACGTGCCAAACTGCCCTGATTTTTTTCTGATAGCTGCCTCTGGGTAACCACAGTTCCCATGTTGTCTTTTGGGAAAACTTTAAATAGCCTATCTTAACCTGAAAAGAGCCTGCTGAGGAGCTCTCCCCCCCATGAATTTGTCTAATCCTCTTTTAAAGCCATCTAAGTTGGTGCCGTCACTGCCTCCAGTGGGAGTGAGTTCCATGGTTTAACTCTGCACCACATGAAGAAGTATTTTCTTTTGTGTGATCCAAACCTTCCAACACTCTAAACTCTGTAGGAAAGTTTCTCTTGCAAGTTCCAAAGATCTCAGAAGCCTGCGTTGCAGTAACGTGGAGCAGTGGCGTAGCGTGGGTTGTCAGCACCCGGGGCAAGGCAAGTAATTTGAGCCCTCTAAACCGTGGATTTTGCGCCCCCTAACCCGTGGAGCGTTGCGGCCGGTGCGGCTGGCCCCCCCTGCACCCCCCACACTACGCCACTGACGTGGAGCAGAGCTTTTCATTTGGCTGCCCCTGAAAAGGCATTCCTGTCAAGATACAGAAGACATCTGCTCTCTGGAAACACTTGAAAACATTTTTGTTGTGACAGGCTTTCCCAGCCAGACAAATGCTTTCCCAAAAGTTAAGACTTTTTGCAATAAAGAAAGGGACAAGAAAATGCCCCGTAAAGTGTGGGATAACGGGGTAAAGTGTGGCATCATCACCTAACCTCCCCACAAACAAATCAGAATAAAAATGTTCATGAAATAAACTTACATTGCCTAACATTCCTGCAAACAATGCTCAATAAATGTCTCTTCTGGAAATGCTCTCAGTTTTTCCCAACAGTGTTTGAAAGTTCAGAAAATTAGGAATCAATGAAGGTAAAAATGAGGCACCAATCATTGCCGAAAAATCAGGAAGGAAAGGTTAATTTCAGAAAGAATGTTTGGAAAGCAGCAGGAAGGAAGAGCAAGAAAACCAGAGCATCTATTAACTGGCACAAAATGAAGTCTTTCTTGATAAAATCAGCGCCTGCACAGAGTGTCTCTTGGTACCATTACATACTACTCGGGTTGTTGCTCAGCTTATAATTGAAGCTACCACCACACATCCATTGACATATGACCAGTGATAGCTCAGTCGGTAGAGCGTCAAGACTCTTAATCTCAGGTTTGAGCCCCATGTTGGGCAAGATTCTTGCAGCAGGGGGTTGGACTAGATGACCCTCAGACCCCCTTCCAACTCTACGTTTCTGTAATTCTTTTAAAAGTGTGTGCACAGAGAAGGGTCAAAATAAAACAGCCTTTGCTTATCATCATTCCTCAAGGTGTTGTTGTGAGGCTAAAACAGGAAGAACTATATACTGTATCTCCTGGGAGATATATAAATGTAGCAATATAGACATAAACAGTGTTATAACTTTCTAAAGCAATCATCAAACGAAGTTCCCAGCCTTGCTAGCTATGGTCACATCCAAGCACATATTTAGCAGTTTCCCCTAAAGTATCTTAGGAACTGTAGTTTATCCCTCACAGAATGACTCCCAGCACCCTTAACAAGCTATAGTTCCCAGGATTCTGTGTGCTTTACCTTTATGGTGTCTCTCTCACAAACAGATCTTTGTTTCCTCAGAGCAGAGACAAATAGCCCAAATTGTACACGCGAGGCCAGCTTCTTCCTTACCTGCTCCTTGGTGGAGAAGACCCCGTAAGGCAGGTTCTGAATGGGGAAGTCCGAATCCTTGTCCACAGCGATAAACGACATTTCACCTCCTTCTTGCAGACACAGAAAGTCAAAAGAGACTCGGCAGCTGTGGCATTCGCCTCTGCACTTCTGACAAGTCCCTCCCCTCCCTGTACGAAAGAGCCAATCAGAGCCCTTAACCACAGACCACCCCTTCCGAAGGTTGCTGCCGGCAGCCCAGGAAACTAATGAATCCCAGAGTTTGGCGTGACTCGACAGCAACCTTCATCCCCCTTTGCCCACCCTCCCCAGCAGCCCAGCCCTTTCCAAACATTTGCTAACCAGATCCAGGCTGGAGAGAATATAACAAAAGCAGTTGAGGGAGGGCAGGCACACTTTCCCCCAAACTTCATGAACTTTGGACTGCGCCTCCCTCAACCGGGTGTCTCCCAGATGTTTTGGACTACAACTCCCATCAGCCAGCAGCTTCCAAAACATCTGGAAGGCACCAGGTTGAGGGAAGGCTGCTGGCATGAAACATGGAATCACAGGCAAAAAGAGAGTCTCTTTCCCAATCATCTTTGATGCTGCCTGAATTTCCTTTGCACCACGCAGGGCCCAATCCAGGACGGGGGAAGCTGTAGCCCTCCAGCAGCCCTGAACGTTGCCTATATTGGCAGGGCAAAGCCCAAAGTCTCAGCGCGACTCTCTCTCAATTGCAGCTCAGAAAGAATTCCTTAAACGCACAGGATCTTTGGTAGTTGCGTTTAGGTAAACGCTTTGGGAAGCTCCTTCAAGCAAATGAGTTCTTTGGGCGGAAAGGCACAAAAAACATTAGGTTGCAGTAGGCAAGGCATTCCGGGGCGTCAGTCTTCCAATCTGCAATATGGGGGCAATACTGCACTGCCCTACAGGCAGGGTTGTAAGGATAACTGATAAACATATTTGGAACAGCTTGGACACTCTGGCACTACCAAACACACCCTTCCGGGAAGCTCTATTTAGCTCAGCGGGACCGGCTTCTGAGTAAACATGCATAGGCTCGCACCACATTTAAAATCACCTTTAACAGTCTTTTAATACTGAAAAATTAAATTGAATAATGGCAGTGTGGCAATTTCACTAGTGTTTTCTGTGAATGCTGAAGATGCACCTCAGCCTCTAACTCTAGCTTTGAAAATCTGAGATTAGGACCTGCCCTATTCCTGCAAGTTGTTTTTAGTTTTTCATGTTGTGCTTTAAATTGCTGCCACCTGCTGTGAGACCACGCAGGGGGCACACGGAGTAACAAACTTATTCCATGCCCACTTATTTAAAACCTCCCCCCTCCGCTCCCCCAGAGCTTCAGTTCAGCAAGATTGTGGACCCTAAGCTGCTTCGCAGTCTTGAGAACAGTGACATTTTCCGCGTCATCCAAGTGATAGCCGATCAGCTGGACACGGCAGGGAAAGCATTAGCCCAGGGGTCAGCAAACGTTTTCAGCAGGGGGCCGGTCCACTGTCCCTCAGACTTTGTGGGGGGCTGGACTATATTTTGAAAAATAACGAATTCCTATGCCCCACAAATAACCCAGAGATGCATTTTGAATAAAAGGACACATTCTACTCATGTAAAAACATGCTGATTCCTGGACCATCTGTGGGCCGGATCTAGAAGGCGATTGGGCTGCATCCGGCCCCCAGCCCTTAGCTTGCCTACCAATGTGTTAGGGCTTGGCAGGCCAAAGGGAGCATGTCTGAGGACCACACACTGTCTGGGTCCATCCACCTGTGCTCCTGGACCAATACTCCACCCCAGACATTTAAAACACATGGCTTCTCTTGTTGACCCCCTAAACCAGCCTTTCTCAACCTGTGGGTCCCCAGATGTTGAACTACAACTCCCATCACCCCTAGCTAGCAAGGCCAGAGCTTAGGGATGACGGGAGTTCTAGTCCAACAAGATCTGGGGACCCACAGGTTGAGAACTGCTGCAACAGAGCTACAATTCCCAGCATCCCTAACAAACTGCTGTTCCCAGAATTCTTGGGGGGGGGGGAGCCACACACTTTAAGTGAGTTTGGTGTGGTGGTGATGAGGGTAGAGAGATTCTGTATGAGTGACTGAAGCAGACTGAGCCATAGCTCAGCGCGGGGAGACGATGCTCTGAATGCAGATTCCAGACCCTCTCCGTCCTACCTCGAGGTGCTGGGGATTAAACCTGGGACCTCCTGGTGTAAATCCGATACTCTACCACTTGAGCTACAGTCCATCCACAGAGTTGTGGAGTGGGAAGGGTCTCCAAGAGTCATCTAGTCCAGCCCTCTGCAATGCAGGAATCTGATCTGCAGCATTCATGACAGATGGCCCTCCAACCTCTGCTTAAGAATCTCCAAGGAAGGAGAGTCCACCCCCTTCCGAGGGAGACTTTCCGGTTACAAAGCAACGCGTACCATCGCGTCCAAATCCCAATTTTTTAAAATTTTATTTTAATCAAAGTTAAAGACGTGGATGAACATAAATACAATACAGTTAAAACTTCATCATTCTTCATATTGGTGTACATAAAGGACCCAATAACATAAACCCCAAGAAAACCTGCAGTCGGCAAGGAAGTGCAGACAACCCCCCCGCCCTCCCCCCGTCCTAGAACACACACACACACAGGGGAGAAGGGGGTGGGAAGAAATATTCTAGAAGTTACCTTTGAAAAGGAAAAACAAAAATCCCACACACAAACTTTAGAATCTCAGAATTCTCTCTCTCTTTCTCTCTCTCTCTCTCACTCAATCACACGCTCAGACTCACGCATTACAAATGATTCATACATAAATAGGTAGTGGGGGGGTGCAAACAAGCTATTATGCTAACATATGTATAAACCTTTGTTAATGGGGGAGGAGAACGGAAAACAAAACAAAAACCCAAGCAGCCGCAATGATTAAAATACATTCAGTTACTGATCGCTAGTTGTGCCGTACGAGGCGTTATGGGGGGGGGGGGGAGGGAAATCGTGCTGCAGAGAAAAGGAAAGGAAAGCTATATACAAAAAAAGAGAGAGATGGGGAAATCCCCGGAAAACAAAAACGGCCAGGTTAATGCATGCATGTTTGAGTACAACAGAAGAGAGAGAAATACAAACAAAAGCGCTGCTGCCTTTCCGATATATCTCTGTGTCGGTATTATAAAAAGCCCTCTGCACTCAACTAAAATTAAAAATTATTTCAAAAGGATAATACTTGAATAGCCATCGTATTTATTCAGGGGCCCCACAGGGACTCCTATAGTGAATCTCACAAGTGTAAAGGTTGCTTAACTCTTCAGCTGTTGTGGTGGTGGTGGGGGCATTGCAATAAAGTTTAGTCATGTTCTAAAAGGGAAAGGGGGGAACCTATGCTTTCGGATGACATGCATGATTCGGCATGACTAAAGCAGGAGGGGAGGAAGAATGGGAAGGGGGTGGGCGAGGGGAAGAAGCTCAAGTCAATTTCATCTGCAGATGGTCATATATTTTTTGTGTTTTTTTTCGTTTTTGTTTAATATTCCAGCTAGAGTGTAGCAGTTCAAATCTTCTGGATCTTTTCCCCGACGACTACAGGATTCTCTTTTCTGATCTTCTCGGCTGCGTCCGCTTTGTAATTGTAAGAGCAACTGTGGACGTCTGAGTAGCGGTGGACGCCGCAGTAAACGTGGCCGCACCTGCATTCAAATCCTGCGGAGGAGAGAAGACAGGGAGGCTGTAAGAGGCCTGGGGGTCAGGAGAAGAGCAGGGTGCACTTCCTTTGCTCAAAGCGCTTAGCGGGGCAGGAGAGCTGAATTTAATGTCTATGTATTTCACATCTGGCAATGCAGGGATCTCAACTGCAGAATCCAGGGCAGATGGCCATCCATCCAATTTAAAAATCTCCAAGGAAGGAGAGTCAAACCCCTTCCAAGGGAGTCCTTTCAGCCACACACCTGTGTACAAAGCAACGCGTGCCCCTTTGGTTTCAGATAGTACATGGGTAAGGCAAAGGGTAAAAGGACCCCTGACCGTTAGGTCCAGTCGTGACCGACTCTGGGGTTGTGGCACTCATCTCGCTTTACTGGCCCAGGGAGCCGGCGTACAGCTTCCGGGTCATGTGGCCAGCATGACTAAGCCGCTTCTGGCGAACCAGAGCAGCGCACGGAAACGCCGTTTACCTTCCCGCTGGAGTGGTACCTATTTATCTACTTGCACTTTTTGGCGTGCTTTCAAACTGCTAGGTGGGCAGGATTTGGGACCGAACAGCGGGAGCTCACCCCGTCGCGGGGATTTGAACCGCCGACCTTCTGATTGGCAAGCCCTAGGGTCTGTGGTTTAACCCACAGCACCACCCGTGTCCCAGTACATGGGTAGACGAGTCTAAAAAGCCCAGGACAAAAAATTTCACGGACCTCTAGTGGCTATGGTGGCTCATTTGCAAGAAGTAATGTATTTAGCATCAGTTCTGGAGGTGTAGACTCGATTCTGGCCAAACAAAGCCTTCTGGGTGTGTATTGTGCTGCAGGGACCCCCAAAGTAATTTGCTGCACAACATTTCAGATCAGACTGGTTGAAAGGCTGCTTGTCAGCTCATCACAAGTTGAAGGGCACAGTGACAATGTGCCACCAGTAATGTTAATAATAAATACACCATTTCATTATTACTTGCTCAGAACCTTCACAACTTGCCCTTCAGCTTGGTGGATTGCCAGGTTATGTGCAACTTACATAAAGAAAACACAAGTCTTATAAAACTTGCATTAAAAATACACAAGTCTTATAAAAACCCAATTTAACAATTAAGAGCAGGCTACCGACTGTAATTAGCAGTAATAATAAGATGCATCAAATAGCAGCTGCTATAAAGATACAGTGGTACCTTGGTTTAAGAACAGCTTAGTTTATGAACAACTTGGATTAAGAACGCTGCAAACCCGGAAGTAGGTGCTTTGGCTTGTGAACTTTGCCTTGGAAGCAGAACATGTTCAGTGTGTTCCATTTGTAAATTGAGTCCCCTGCTGCTATAGGAAAGCACGCCATGGTTTAAGAATGCTTTGCCTTAAGAATGGACTTCCGGAATGGATTAAGTTTGTAAACCAAGGTACCACTGTAGTTTAAAAGACACACACAAAATCATCAAGCTTTGCACCACCTCCTCTAGACAGGGGAGTAAAAGGCAGGGGCTGGTTTGAGCTCAATGTTAGAGGATCCAGACGTGTTTATTTCAAAGGCAGAAGTAAACTCTTACTGTTGATCTACAGCTCGCATTTCAAGTTAATGAAATGAAAAGGAACTTACCGGTAAGCCCAACCTTCTTCCGGCACATGAAGCAGCGAGTTTTTTTCTGTTTTGGTTTGTCGAGTGATTTCTCTTGTTCTTCAGAGGATGGCTCTGCGCTATCTGATGCTGAAGCTGCAGGGAAAGAGAGCAAAAAGATGTGAGAGAGATAAAGACAAGGCAAAAATCTGAACTTTGCAGTTTCGGGTCCTGCGCCCTTGGGGTTGAAATTCCTCCCTCGAAGACCCAAATCTGGCCATGTCCAGAACTTTAACCAGATTCCTTCATCGTTCAGATACTCCCGAAGGCTCCATCGTACACTCACCACCTTGTTTAATCTCTCTGCCAGTCACGAGAGGTGGAAATCAAGCTGAGGACTGAGATTTAGCTTCGTATTCAGAGGCAGTTGGACATTTATTTGCAGAGGGAAATGATGGCCCTATGCTGCTCACATGAAAATCTCCCATGCCAAAGGGGTTACTCGACAGGAAGCCTGCACCCCGCTTGCTCCCCTGGATGCACACAGAGCACTTCATGCGCTGGAAACCCAGCAGAGAGGCTCAATACACAGCCTTGTTTGGGGAGTATAAGGGGATGTGTGCAACACTGCCTTTGCCCAAGCACAACAGACTTCTGCTCACCCAACAAGCCTTCCTCTTCCTCTCCCTCCCCTGTGCAGCCCCAGAAACTCTGCTCTAGAGGGTTTGGGGCTCCTCTGGAGCAGTGGTGTAGTGGGCGGGGGTCCGAGGGGTGGTGGCCTCAGGTGCAAAATTATGAGATGGGCACAACCAGCCAACCCACAGCAGGCTCCCTCAGCATGGCTGAGCTCCTGAAACCTTCCGGAGCTACAGGAAGGCAAGCTGCACCTGGTCCAAGCCTTCAGGGCTAGGACAGCGCCTCCTCCGTGCGGCTGATGCCCCAATGAGGTTGGGCTGGCTTGCCCTTTCCTCCCCCCATGCCCACACCCCAGCTGCCCAGTACACCAGAGGGGTGCAACACTTGCCCTGCCCTGGGCCCCAGCAACCCATGCTAAGCCACTGCTTTGGAGTAGATCTTTTAACAATTCATATACTGATTAACACCAGGGTGTTTGTATTTGTGTGTGTGTTTAATTACGTAAGTTTTATCTGGATCAGGCCAATGGCTCATCTAGTCCAGCATCCTGTTCTCACAGAGACCAACCAGATGCCCATAGAAATCCTCAAAACAGGACCGGAGAGCACAACAGCGCTCTCTCCCTCCTGCAGTTTCCAGTAACTGGTATTCAGAAGCATGACTGCCTCTGACCATGGAAGTAGAACAAAGCCTCTCCCTCCTCTGCCATGAATTTGTCCCAGCCTCTTTTAAAGCCATCTAGATTGGTGGCCATTGCTGAATCCTGTAGGAGTTCCATTTCAAGATGAAACAGGAGTTCCATCATTTAACTCCTCGCTCATCCTCAGTCCAATGCACATTAACATCATGTTTTTCATTTATTTATCATACAGAAGATGAAACAATACGGGTATTGTTTTCCATAGCGGAGAAGCTGGACATTCTAAGGGCAAACAACCTATGTTGTTGTTTTTAAAGAAAAAGGGAAACGAAAAGAAGAACGCCAATTGTTGAAGAATGGATTGTGCAAAGATAGGAAATTGTAATACGGTTAAATAAATGAATATAGCAAGGGTTAGGGGAGGGAAGGCAACAGAACAATATTTTTTACGGCGAAATGGGGTATGTTTCTTACGCAGTGGAGCAACAGAGCTCCAGAAAATTGTGCAGCCTTATGTATGGTTGTGGGTTTCTTGCAACACAATTCGTTTTACGTTGAAATCTTTGATATACAGGTTATTTATCGATAATAACAAATTTTAAAAGCACTGTAGTTTCTAAGCAGTGTACAATGAGGTACAAAACAGATACAAAAGTTAAAGTTAAATTATCCATAAAATTAGGGGGGGGGGGACCCTTACTTAAAAAAGCCTGCTGAACTAAAAAGGTCTTCACAAAGCACCCAAAGTTCAACAGGGAGGGGATCTGTCTGACCTCAGCCAGGAAAGATGTCCACAGAGTCAGCCCCACATTACTGACTTCATGGCTCCACAAGGGACCAATAGCAGCAACACTCCCCTAAACACCTGTGATCAGGTAGGGATCTGAGGAATAAGGTATCCTGGGCCCAAGCTGTTAAGGGTCTTGTTTTGGGAGCACACTGCAGAGAAGGAGGGGGGAAATTGGAAGCCCCCTGGAACAGAATTTGGGGGTGTGCAGGGGACTGCAAAGGGGAGGGTGAGGAAGGGGAGCACCCCAACAGGAATCACAACTAAGGAATCCCCAGCGAGCCCCCGCTAACTCAAAATATACAAAGCATTTTCATTTTTTGGGGAAGCCTTACAAAGTGGCTGACAATTACCATGCCAGTAATTTATGTCTACGCCCCAACTGATCACTGTGCTCCACAAGAGAGGGATTCCTGCAGATGCAACCCCATTGGGAGATCTGCTCCATGCCATAAAAGTATAATAATAATCCTGGAATCATCACACACCTTTAAAACAGGGAGAGAGAAGTGTGAACTTCAGTTCAATAAGGCTGGAAGTGTGCGCCTTTAGTTTTAGCTGTCTTCATGAATTGGCTTAAATACTGCTCTTAGTCTGAAATAAGACTGAAATAATGACACCTGAAGTGGGCCACTGACGGCTGAAATAGAGGGTTATATAAGACTGAAAACATGTCTTTTCAGACAGCCTTAAAAGTCGCTGGAGACTCAGAACCCTAACACAACTCCTCAATATAATCTTTGAAGATTGCCTAGGTCTTCCAATTGCAATAGTGGGTGCGGACTCACTAGTGTGCTGTGGTCTGATCCAAGGCGGGTTGCAACAGGCGTACTACCACCATGCAAATGTATGGTGAAAGATTGAGAAATGGGTCCCCAAATGCATGTTTGGGTCTTGGGTTTCTAAAAAGGCTTAAGGTGCCTGGTCTAGAACAAGTTAAGCAGTTGCAGCTCCCAGAGCCAGCAAAGAAGGCAATACATTTTATTTACAGCCAGTGCTCCCCCCCCCCCAAAAAAAAATAGGTGCCGGAACTCACCATGAAGTTGTTACAGCAAGTCACCAGGTGACTTGGGGCAGCCCTGAACGGGTGCCGTTTTGACAACAGCTGCATTCAGTGCCCGAGGAGGTGCTAAAAACTATGGCAAGCTGTCTCCCTAGTTGGTTTGGGGGTTGCCCCTGGTTCTGGTGCAGGACAAATAAATGCGCCCCCGCCTCCCTTGTTCTCATAGATTCAGGCAGATGGCTAGGGCAGCTCAGAAGGGCCCTTGAGAAAATATTTTTGTGCAAAGGTAAAGGCCTGGCTTAAAAGCTTAAGGCCCACTACCACTACATGGGAGACAGATTGAAGAAAAGGAAATCCGAATTGGCTCTGTCCCATAGCTTGAGCAATTGCACCCAGGAGCAGCTAGGAGCTAGGTGGAGTCATAGATCTAAAAAAAAGTGCAGACTCGCACACACTGGCCACAATCCATTTTGACTTGAAATGTTCGTTTTCATACTTTTTCTGTAAAGGCAAGAAGTGGGCAGGGAGATTGCCGGCCTGCAATGGCACCCGCCCGAGAGGTGCCAGAAACCAGAGTCTAAAGTTACCTAAGCGCATCACTATTCAAGCGAGATAAATTCATGTTGCAAGGCATTGATCAAAACAAGACAGAGATTAGGTAAAAGGTTTTACAATAATAACCCTGCCCTCCCAACATTTGATGCCTAACAGCAGTTCATGCACTGGTTACTTTGAGATTAGACTACTGCAATGTGCTCTTCGTGGGGCTTTCCTTGAGCCTGATCTGGAAGCTGCAGGGAGTGCAGAGTTCTGCAGCGTAACTGCTGCCAGGATCGAGACTTTGTCAGCATATAGCACTTTTGCTCAGAGGCCTGTGCTGGTTGCCAATTCGCTACTGGGACAAGTTCAAGTAACAACCCTTCACAGTTTGGGACCAGTTTACTCGCATACCCCATATATACCCACTTGGCCACTTGCATAAAATGTTTTTATCCGGTGCCAAAAGGTACAGTGAAGCCTCCTGCCTGATATCAAGAGGCAGGGAGTTCCGAAGTGCAATGCTAAAAAATTGATTCCTTACAAATGTGGAGCGAGTATTATGTGGTCCCTGCAACAAAGCGGTCGAGGGGGAATAAATGGGGTAAACTTAAAGAGTAAATAAAGGAGAAAAATCAAACAGAACTCTCAGCCTCTTGCATCGAGGAGCTTACAGCCTTAAATACATTTAATTGCATTGCTATATCCTGCATCACTGGGGATCCCCAAGAGCCAGACCCTGGTTTGCTTGGCTTCAGAAAGGTGGCTACATTGTGTGCCTTTGGACCAAAGCTCCAGGAACATGCCATCAATTGTGCGGCGAGACAACAAATGGAGACGTAATGGAAATGTGTGTGTGTATATCAGCAACAATTAAAATGTCTGCTTAGTTTTGGACCAGGGTGAGGGACCAAGGGATAAAGTCAACACCTTCATGGAAGAGGTGGGTTTTGAGGAGAGATCCTCAGGGGGAGACTGACCTGGCTCCAAGCAGTACTGTGACTTTTTATGCCCTATTATTCCACACTCCCCAAAAGATTGGCTTGTCCCTGAACTTAAACGATGCTGACGTATCCAGCAACAGCTAGAGGGGGCACTTGTGCAACACCCCAAAAATAAAAGAAAGTTCACTGCCAACAACAACAAAAAGGCACATTTGCATGTGCTAATTTAGATGCAAATTTAAAATGAATTAGCTTGTTTTTTAAAGGAGATAAGAAACACCTCACCCTAGTGGGGGAAGAGTGTGGCCATGTGACCTGCATGCTTGCAGGTGATCATTGTGGATGGGCAACCAACACCCCTGAGAAGTACCGTATTTTTTGCACCATAACACTCACTTTTTTCCTCCTAGAAAGTAAGGGGAAATGTCTGTGCGTGTTATGGAGGGAATGCCTATGGGTGGCGGGGGGGGGGGGATCTGCTGCAGTCGTGAGCAGAGGATCCATGGTTCCCCTTCCTTCCCTCCTCCTTGGCTCGCTTTGAAACAGCAAAGCGGGAGAAGAGCTGCTGAGTGGGGAGGAGAGAGGGACAGAGAGCCTGCTTGCTTTAAAGGAGCAAAGTGGGAGAGGAGAGGAGAGGAGAGGAGAGGAGAGGAGAGGAGAGGAGAGGAGAGGAGCTGCTTACACCAATATAAGCGGCTCCTGTCCGGTTGGCTCCTTTAAAGCAAGCAGGCTCTCTGTCCCTCTCTCCTCTCCACTTAGCTCGCTAAATAGCAGCAAAGTTTTTCAGCTCGCTAAGCCGGGGAGGAGGGAGAAAAGCAGAGCCTGCTTGCTTTAAAGGAGCAAAGTGGGAGAGGAGAAGAGCCTTCTCCCCTTATACCCCTCTTCTGCATTTTTAGCAGCATCCTTCTCCACCCACCCCACGCATGCTTCTTCTCCCCTTAAACCCCTCTTCTGCATTATTAGCAGCATCCTTCTCCTTGTCCCTTGAGTGCTTTTCCTTCCCTCCCCACTTAAAACGTGGTTACAAAGCACGGATCCACATGGATCCTCAGGATTTTTGCACTGGGTCACCCCAAATTCACCATCAGATCGCATAATATGTCCATGGCTACATCTTGCACCAAAAAAAATCACGCACCCACTGTTGCCTGGGGCCGCAGTGGTACAAAAACGTGGTTACAAAGCATGGATCCACATGGATCCTCAGGATTTTTGCATTGGGCTACCCCAAACTCACCATCAGATCACATGTCTGTGGCCACAGCATGAACCACAAAAATCATACATCCACTGTTTCGTTTAGAATATTTTTTTTCTTGTTTTCCTCCTCTAAAAACTACATGCGTGTTATGGTCGGGTGCGTGTTATAAAAATACGGTAGTTTCATTTGTGCAGCACCAGCACAAAACCTTATGTTTTTAATACCAGCACAAAACCTTATGTTTTTAATACATTTTATTTGATTACTGTATTTTATTCTTGTTGTAGACCACTTTGAGATTTTGTTGTTATGAGAAGCCATTCAAAATTCAACACATCTCTCCTAAGAGACAAGAAACTGCTAGGCAGCTGAGTTAATAAAGAACTTTTTTAGAATTCCCTTCTCTGACCTTTGGACGTCACGAAACAAACTGATTGTCCCTGGCAGAATACTGCCGGAGGACGAATGTACATAAAAGTCAGCTCCAGGACAGACAGACAAATACAGAAAGGGGAGGGGGAAGTGTTGAAAACATAACTGCAAAGTTAGATGAAATATGGCAACTGGTTGGAGTTACAAGGCTTTGATCGAGGAGTTTTATTATACCAGAGCCTACTAGGAGGAACAGGGAATAGAGTAGCAATTTGGGCAGGACTCAATTTCCAGAATAGCCAAAAAATTCAAAGACCAAACTCTGTGCCACAACAGTGTAGCTAAGACCACAACAGTGTCTCCACAACAGTGGAGCGAAAGCATCAAACATTAAGGTAACCTGCTGAATGAACAAGGAGCAATATCATACTGGTGGAGGGGAAGACCATGCTTATCTTCCCTCTCTCTGCCAATAATACGGACAAAACTGAGATGCAATCTGGCAGGAGGGAGTAAGGATGTGTCTGTTCCCTGATGCAGCCTTTTGCTAATAGAGGAGGGAATCCCATGGCTAGACAGCGCCAGCCTGTACCTGAGTTGCAGACAACTGCACAATGCACAGGGTGAAGGACAACAGACAGTATCAATGGAAATACCAAGCCTGCTCAAGGTATCTGGCGAACGATGTGCATCCAGTTTCAACTCAGGGAGGAAATAATAATTTAAATGTGCTCCAAGTACTAGAAGTTTGGGGCACATTGCTCAAAAATTTACAGCAGCCATTGCCAAACAGGTGCCCTCTGGAGATGTTCTTGTCTTACAATTCCCACCACTGTGGTTTCCTCCTGATGCTCTTAGCTACTAAAACTGCACCAGCTCCCCAGTTCCAAAGAGAGTGCAGAGGTTCTCTCTGGGTGCTTGCTGCTGGACCACAATTCCTCTCGCTCCTGCCTATTGACCATGATGGCAGAGGCTGATGGGAGCTGGAGTCCTTCAACATCTAGAGGGCCACAAGCTACCCATCCCTGCCTTATGCCAGACTGTCACTGTTTACAGACAATATACTTGAATCAAGCTGATATTGGAGGGGGTGACAGATGAACTCAGGACTATCCTGGACACTGTAGGTTAACACACAAGAACATTTTACACACTGGCCAGGATCCAAGGAACAGTGCAATGAGTTCTGTGCAGCTGAAAAGAGAATTTAGATGTTCTTTCTTCCTAAATGAGGAGGAAGCAGTGCTCAGTGGAAGAGCATATGTTCTGCATGCAGAAGATCCCAAAGCTCCATCCTTTGCACAGTGGAACCTAGGTTGTTGAATGCTTTGGAAGCCGAACAATTAGGAACCTGAACGCCGAAAACCCGCAAGTGAATGCTTCCATTTTCGATCACGCCTTGGAAGTCGAATGGCTTCCGCGGTGCGTTTCTCCAGTTCCCCCTCTATTTTTTCAATGGATTTTGCCGACCGGCAATTGCGCTTGGGTTGTCGAACGTTTCCGGAAGTCGAATGGTCTTCCAGAATGGATTACGTTGGACAACCGAGGTTCCACTGTACCTTCAGTTAAATCTTCAGTTTAAAGGGAGGAGGAAATATGCTGGGAGCAGTAAAACTTAGGTTAGATGGAGAAGATGCCTGACCTGCCGTACAGCAGCAGCTTACACTCCTCTGCTGCACTGCAGACTACATCTCAAATGGGGAGAGTTAGAAGCATTCTGAGATATGGCAATGGGGGTGTGAGGTTGCCCTTAGCCACAGAAGAAGTCAAAAAGATCTAATATAAGCCACTGGGTGCACATTTCTTTTGGAGCTGGCCACTGATCTCTTTGTACCTTATATGAACAGAAAATGATCTTTTACAAGGAAAGGGGAGGCTGGTGCTTGAAGGGGCGGGAGGAATTAATACACATACACACAGCCACCAGCAAGCACATCCAAGGCAAATGAAAAGCCTGGACATCAGGAAGGGTGCACTTAATGGTTAAAGCTTTTGCTTTTCCTGCTACACCCTTGCTCTTTACAGAACAGCATGAAGTTGAAAGATCTGGAGCTGCAAATGGAAGTATGAATTTAAAAGAGAAAGAGAAAGAAAGAAAGAAAGAAAGAGAGGTTATTAGAGCAGGATTAGGACACAGAATAAAGATATACAGACATTTGAATGCAGAAACATGCAGAAAAAGGTGGAAAACTGCTACAGTAAGCTTACTCTTTCTCAAAGGTGGCTTAAAAAGAACAGCTTTTTAAATTAGCAACTATGCCATGCATATAACAAAGTTAGTAGCAGAATCATGTTAAAAGACATTAGCAAATAGAGGACAATGTCTAGACCAAGACTGGGGGGAAAGGATGGGATAAAAAGTGTTTGAGGTCTGACTCACTGCCAGGTGCTAAGACTGGGCACAATCTAGACAGCTTAGCCCATTTGAATTCCCATGCATTCCAACAGGAGAATTACACACAGGGTCAGATCTCCCTGCCTTTGAAATGAACAGGTTTAAAAAGAGTACTAGATCGGGTCCATCTACATACTATCAGAACTAGATGCTTATTTCTCTCTGTGCTCCATTTTACCTAATCCAGAGTTTCCAAAACTTTTAGTATCTGGGGCACAGTTCCCTTGGCCCATTTTCGAGTGTAGAATGGAGAGAAGTCTCATTCTTTTGCTGCTTCCTTTTCTCATGCAGCTTTTAGACCAGGTGTGGTCTAAGATGCTGCTGAACTACACCTCCCATCATCCCTGGCTAGAGCTGATGGAAGTTGTAGTTCAGTAACATCTGGAGGGCCAGGGGTTCATCCCACACCTGTTTTAGACTAACAGTGCGGGCCTCTTTTTCGTGACTACCAGAGAGCACAGCTAAAATTGCATCCAGCGCCCCCTTTCACCCCGGATGCAGGGTAGGGACCCAGGATGCTGTCTTGGCAGCTGTGACATTTCTATGATTCACCTGTTGCCTTCTCTGCTGCATTGCAAGGTGCTGTCTTTCGGATGATATCTCTGCCAATAAGAGTGGCAGAAACAGTGTGGGGGTGTAGATCGGGGTGAGGAACCTTCTGGGAGTCGCACGCTGACAGTGGGTAAGGCCAGAGGCAAAAGTGGACAGAGCAATGGATGTGATCTTAGTGCAGCAGTGCGAATCCCAGCCATGCAAAAGCCAGGGGTTCCCCTGACACCACCTCTTCTCCATCGGGACAAGCAGAGACACCATCACAGTTCCGGAACACATATCAACAGGGGAAAAGAACTCAAGGAGGGCACGGGGCAAGGGGTGCAACCTGGGCAAAGGGCAAAGGTGAGGTTCCCCACCCCTGGTAGAGATCATTGCTGGGGAAGAGGGCATCCCTACAGAGCGAATGCACCTGGTTTGGGCACTCGTTTTAACCAAGGTTCATTTTCCAGCCCCTCTCGTGGCACACACTTGCTTCCTGCCCCAGCCCAGTTTGGGAGTCACTGCTATAACCTACGTTAACAAGGAAACTCACTTACCTACTGTGTTTAGTGTTAAATCTGTATCGCGCCTCTTCGTTTTCACTCTCGAGTTCTCATCCGGGAAATCGGGATCATCTATATTAGTTTCTATGCTTGCATCATAATCACACTCTGTTTCTGAGCCCCTGGTAGTGTCAGGTAAATCTGAGTTATCCATCGACAATTCCTCTCCGGTACTGTCTATTGAAATTGTTTCGGCAAGGTCCACTGATGTTGGTTCTATTTATTCAACGGGACATGTATTTTAGGTATGTATTTTTATTCTTTAGAAAACACACACACGCACACAAACATGCTGCGTAGTCAGTTTTGAAAGTGGTTTTCATTCGTTTATTGTTCAGAACGGACCCACCCACTCCTACAGTTCCTTGCACCCGAGGGCTACAGCAGCGCAGGGCTGATCGACTCTGCGTGCAAAGCCCTCAAGGGTGAGGGTGGCGAGCGAGGACTGCTTAGCAAGGGATGCGGTTTTGATCTGCTTGGTTACCACTGGGAACAGAGGACACGAAAAGTGTTGGGAGTGTAGATGGGAGAAAGTTAAACATAAAAATATGAACGAAGTTTTCCCACCCTGTAGTTTGATCAAGTGGCCCCCCTGCCTCCTTTCTTAGCTACAATAGGATCAATTCCTTTGTGCAGGGATTCAGAAGGACAATTCTTCTAGCAAAGAGGTAATTGCAACTGAATGAGCACTGGAAAGTGGGGAGGATATCAGAAATGCAATACGCATGAATGTCATGAAGCAACATGGGGGCCCTCAGGCAGACAGCTCTTGTGGTCTGGAGGTATGCAAAAAGTCCTTCCTGCTCTGCTTCATGCATTAAATCCCCTTGATAAATTGCAGCATACAAATATTTTAAATGACACAAAAATTATTTCTCCTTGTCCCCACTACACAGAGAGCTATTCTACATGGCTAAATCTACATGTGGCTTTTCCTATTTTACCTGTCCTTATAAGTGTTGAATAAATGCATGGACACACACTGGAAAGTTAGTACAGTGGTACCTCGGAAGTCAAACGTAATCTGTTCTGGAAGTCTGTTCGACTTCCAAAACGTTCAGAAACCAAGGCACGGCTTCTGATTGGCTGCAGGAAGCTCCTGCTGCCAATAGGAAGCCACGGAAGCCCCATCAGACATTTGGGTTCCAAAGAACGTTCGCAAACCGGAACACTCACTTCCGGGTTTGCAGCATTCGGGAGCCAAAACGCTCCAAGTCGCAAGGCGTTCGCCAACCAAGGTACGACTGTAATGGCTTCCTATCCAAAGCAAAATCCCCAATCTGTGCAGCTCGAAGGTCAGCTGCATGTGAGAAATTGCTTTGTGCTAACTGGGGTTGGGGGAAAGACAATAAATTTCCCTTTCAGAAAATCCACACTGGGGCCATAGCCAAGGATATCTATCGATTCATGCATATTAAGGAGGAGGATTCCTAAGTGCCGACCTTCGGGGATTTTGGGTGAGGGTGGGGGCAGTTGATAAGGGGATGCATAAGCCCAAGCTCTGATCCTTACCAACTCCAGCTAAAGAAATTACAGGTAGGAAGGCAGGCAAATATCTCTGAGACCTTGGAGAGTGATTACTCACCAGTCAGTCAGCACAGGGCTAGAGGGTCCAACTGTGTGAAGGAAGCTGCCTTTTACCAGGTCCAACCATTGGTCAATCTAGGCTAGTATTATCTACTTCAATTGCCAGTGGAATGTGGCTAACCATGGTTTAGCAGAAATGTGCAGGTTCTCGGAGGGGAGACTGAGGTTGCTTTGCTCCTCCCCCTGGTGATTCTGCTGCTGCACTAAGCCGTGATTTGGCTTAGCATTCTGTCCCCACAAGGTTCATGGTTTAATTCTCCTGGAATTCTCCATGAGCCGTAAGCCACAGGACAAACCCTGGTGACGGCTTGGTAGTCTAGATAGAACTGAACTATGAGCAAAGGCTCAGCTGGGTCACCAAGCCACAGTTTAGCAAGGCACATCAGAACAGAGCAACTGGGAAAGAGCAAAGCAGTCACAACCTCCAAGAGTCCACACATTCATGCTAAACTGTGGTTTGGCTTAGTAGAACATTTTAGCCAGGCCAAGGGTTATTTAGGGTCTCAGGGAGATAAAGAGATCTTTCTTCCTTGATCCCCTGTTTTTACTGGAGATACCGGGGATTGAAATTAGGACCTTCTGCACGCAAAACATGTGCTCTACCATTGAGCTATGGTTAGGAGAAGGAGCCTCGTGCTATCCCAAACTGCAACCGCAGAAAGCTCATAGCAGTAAGTATGGATGGAACTGCAGTCCAAGCTATTTCCCACATACTGAATTTTACACAGACTCACACAATCCACATTTCACTGCACCAAACTATGTAGCTTTAGATCCACAGATATATCCAAGCATTACAGGCAAATAAATTTGAATATATATTTATATTTTTAAAACTTATACCTCTCTTTTCTACTTCGTAAAAGAGTTGCTCAAATATACGACTCCAACTCATGTGAGCATTTGCTCCCCAAGTAAAACAACATTATCAGTACTTTCAGTTCTTGATGCTACGCCTGAGTTGTATCTTTAAAATATAATAGGAGAAACCAGCCACTGGGGGAATATATTCTAATGGGAAAGCATAGATTCATACCCTGTAGTGTCCTTTCGTGGATTGTGGAGAGAACTCCTGGCATACCAAAATTTCATACAGGCGAGCTTTCCACCAACTAAAGGGTTCAGCAGATGTCTTGGAATCGCATTACATCTTCAAATCATCTATTTATCTTGAGATACAGTCCATTTTATGGTTTCTCTGTTCACCAACAGAGACTTGACTAGTCATGACTTGGATTAACATATAACCAGGGGTCAGCAACCTAAGGCCAATGGACCAGAAGTGGCCCGCGGAGGTTGTTTGACCAGCCCACAAGCCACCCCCAAAACAAGGAGCCCGCTTGCACGCTGTGCTATACCGGCACAGCGCAGCGCAGGGACTTGCTTCCGCGGTGCTGGAAATCACGTCTGTGCATGCACAGATGCTGAAAATCGCAGCCATGCACGCGATCCAACCCACGGAGGGATCTCTGTGGGACCAATCTAGACCAGGCAAGAAAAACCTTGCCGACCCCTGATATAAACAAAGAATATAGCACTGCATTTTGGCAACTTTGTTCCATCCTGTTTAGGCTTTGTGCCCCCTTCATTTATAATTCGCATCAGGGTTTACATCCCACCTTCACTCCGCAAGAAACTGGGAAGCACACATGAGAGGGTCTAGAGCAGCATCGCTCAATGTGGTGCTTTCTAGATGTAGCCAGACTACAACTTCCATCACCCTTGGTCAGTGGTCATGCTCACAGTGCACCGTCCGTTCTATGGCTAGGAGACCCAGTTCACATCTCTTTTACAGATGTGGTATCACACAATACAACACCCTAAGAATTAGATGGCTCCAAACAGAAAAGGGGGTTATGCCACATTCACAGAGACAAACACAGCTGGTTTTAGCAAGAAAGAAAGCTCAGCTGCAGCTAAGGCTCTTCCCCCTGCCCACCCAGAAGTGGCTCAAGCCAGTGAGTGGCCACATTTCTATACAGGCAAGAGACCACTGCTCAGTAGTGGAGTACATGCTTTGCATCAAGAAGCTCCCAAGTTCAATCCATGGACTCTTCAGTCAAAAATGAGAAAATCCCTGCCTGGGATCCTGGAGTCACTGCCAGTCAGAACAGACAATGGCAGGCTCTTGGGGACAAATTGTTAGACCTGGTAGAAGGCCCCTTCCTCTGACCTCAGTGTAGTGTTTTCTTTTAAAACCCCACACCAGTGCTCTGTTTTGAATATGCAGCAAATCAGAGCCCAGACCACAGAACCAAAAGGGCAGGTATTGCTTAGCTAAAAGAAGGACAACGAAACAAACCAAAAACCCCCCACCAAAGGCAGAAGATGTGATCAGTAGCCCAATGAGCACAAGGGGGAGCCCACAAGGGCTTCTCTTAAGAAAGGAAGAAACCCTGCTATGTTATACTGGGAGTGGACCAAAGAAAAATACAGATAAAGCTTTCGCTTACTCTAGTACACACGGCACTCGTCTAATACCCCTTTTCTTATCTCAAGGCCCTAGCTGTCAAGTGTGTGACCGAGATCCAGCTTAACTTGCAAGCCATCTGCAACGGCTACCCCCATGGCAGAAATGAGTACACAGAGATGGGTGTATGAGCTGAGTAATGCTGTGCTTATGTCATTTCACTGCATCTTCCCAGAATGTGTGTGAGAAAGAGCACTGCTGCTTGTGTTTCTGAATTTCAGGAACACTCAAATAATCTTAGGCACGCTTCACGTGGGGGTAAGTCTCCCTGAACACAGTGAGACTCACTTCTGAGTAGGAAGGATCACATTGTTAACTGTATTGATGACATGGTTTAGAGTCACTGTGCAAAAAAAAACCCTAAAAGATGAAATTGAGCACAATCTGTTTTTAGAAGCACATCTGGAATGCTCAAAGGCAGGTTTTGGGGGCCCAGACTCTCCACTGTTATCTGTGCCCAAAGGGCACAAGGATGCCCCAACATCTGTCAAGGAAAGCTCAGTTCCACGAACAATACATATAGCAATTTTAAAGGGGAATCTCCTTGAATGTCACTTTAAAAAACCCACATGCAAAGGAGTTCTGTGTTACCATGCTGATTTTAAAAAAATCTATTGTGGCAAGATTTTTATTTTTTTCCTGCATAAGCTCATGTCATAATAAGTCCCAGGACTCTCTTTCAGCAAAAGACTAACACAGGTACTTTTGCATAATTGCATTACTTGCCACACAACTGACAAGAAACTTTAAAGTCTGTTAGGCTTGTTGCAGTGAAATTCAGCTTTACACGTATAGGTGATTTCTTTGCAAAGCCACAGGGTGGATTCAAATTAAGCGAGGTAAGCAAAGTTTGGATTCTCTTGAAATAAACTGGATGGCTGAAACATTCATGTCCATGGCATTAATCTGGATATTCAGTATATGACTGAATATCACAAGATAAACAAACACACTCAAGCTTTGGAATCAAAAGGGGCTGGTAGATAAAAGATGGGATTTACTGGAGTCTGAAACCAGTAAGATTAAATTTCTGGTCATGCAGAGCTGCTTACCGAACTATTTACCTCTTTCCAAAATGTTTAAACAGTAGTAATTTTTTTGGGGGGTGGGGAAGGTGAGAAATCCTGGCACATTCATGTTGCTTTATACCTTCTGTGACAAATTATTAAGTGATTACAGATTCTCTCCACTCTTAAGGAGATGCAATTGTCAGCAAGCTCACTGGGAAATGCCAGTGTACAATTCAAGTCTCTTCTTTTCAGTTCTGGCCTCTGCAGTTTTTGACAATTGGCATTGCAGAGTTATTGATAACCAGCAGTAGATCAAGTAGGACAACAATGTATGTTTTCTCTTCGTGTTTCAAGGCATTCCAAAAAAGCATAAACAAAGACAGTGAAGGCATCCAACTAGTTCATATACTAACCTTGGACATCTTCTCTTTCAGGTCCTGCCTTGTCCACTATGTCTGTACTTTCCACTTCACATGTTGCTACAGATTCTGCTAAGAGTGATGATGGGCTTGACACAGGGCTAGAAGCGGGGTGGCAGGGAGAGAATTTCTTTAGAAAGTGGTACAGGCTTTGCTATAACTAGCACATGAAATATTCGCTTATGGAAGGCAACTGTTTCAACTGCTTATAAAGGCAACTTGATATTATAGACACCAGGGTTCAAGATGCTACTGGGCCATGATGCTGCTAAGTGACCTGGAGTCAGTTCCTCTCTCTCTCTCTGCCGAGCCTACCTCACAAGACTGGCGTGAGGATAAACAGGGAAAGGGAGCCACGGTCGTCATCTTAAGCTCCTCGAAGGAAAGGCAGGGCAGAAACAAAATTACAGAACGAATAAAATCATCAGAAGCAAAGTATTTGTCCAAAGACAAGTGCTGCCATCCATTGGACTAGTTGTAATTTAAGAAGATGGTCAGCTGATGGGTGGATGAGGGCAGTGTCACATTTACCCCCACGGACTAGCCTCCATTGTGTTTATCTTGTATATTTAGCACAGAGCTCTGAAAATAATATAACTGTCTTTGAAAGACTGTTCAGAAACTGGGGACAGGCACTGGGACCAGAGCTGCCAGCACCAAAGCAGATTCACTGGCGTGCTTCCAATTCAAAGTGCAAATGCTTACCTTACAAGCGTTTAGGTCATACATTGAGGTGCAGATTTTGCTGTGCCATTGCCCATTCCAACAAGTTTTAAGCTGAGATCTTCCCCAGTCAACATCTGTATGGGGCCATCTTTGGGGAGCACCCCAGCAAAACTGGGTACTTTCACAAACCTCAAAGCACACCTGAGTATGGCAATGCCTCCCTCACATTTTCCTGTTCCGTCTAAGTAACTATCAGCACTCAGCACCTGAGTTTTGCTATTATAGGGAGTAGAAAGACGGGCTCCTGCTCTGTCCCCAGATACATTAACGAAACTATCACAGACAGCTATAGTGCAGCACTCCCAATCCAAAAAAGGGAGAATGCTCTCATTCATGCAGTTACCATTCTGTCCCCAAAATAGAAAATGCCGCAATTAACATTATGGTAACAATTCCACATAGGCCTTTGACACACACAAACACAGGATGGCAACGTTTACCTTGGCTGCATAGGTGGTACAGGTGTAGAATCTAGTGTTGATGAAGTTTCCTGGATGCTGCCTTCAGTGCATTGAACTGGTAAAGACTCAGTTAGGCTACTAACAGAAGTTGCTGAAAGAAGAGGCACTCGTGTTAAGACAGCAATTGGCCACGCTAGAAGACAACTGGTCACCATAGGCTTGATGTTGCAATCTTAGGGCTGGGGGAGACTTTAGGCTGTGATGATTTCAGGACAGAATGAAATCTACACCTAAGTTATTAACCACACCTCAGTTGCTTAGAGCAGGGTGCCGATAATGCCAACGTTGCAGGTTCGATCCCCCTATGGGACAGCTGCATATTCCTGCATTACAGGGGTTGGACTACAATTCAATTATATATGCCCAACTATAAGAGATGGCAATTGTGCCTTTGAATTTAATGTGCAGGTTGGTTTGTTTTTAAAATTCAAATAAGATAAAACTTGATGTTTTAAAAACACAAAGAATACCTCTTCGGGGGACGATAATCAATCCACACTACACATAGCTAAACAACGGAATTTACTGCAGTGATGGCCAACAGCTTGGACGGTTTTAAAAGAGGATCAGACAAATTCATGGAGGATTGGCTTTATGATACTGCTTTAAGTGAATAGTGCAGATAAGGCCATACTTTTAGGGCTGCTGTTTTAAGTAATTCTGACATGGCTTTGCACTAACGAATCATAGAGCTTTAAACAGGTGGTGTGGATGTGGCCTAAGTTAAGAAAGTATTCATGGTCGCTTCCTGGAAAAGTTGCACTATCTTAAATGATGTGCAACATGCTATTTGGCAGGAAGGTCAACAGTGTAATGGGAGGTTCTGCAAGTCGCGTGTTGCTGTTTTAATTTGGCAGCAGCTGTTTCCAGATCACCTGTTTTTTTCTCTCTCCTCAACATAGCTATCCCTTCCTACATTGGCCGGTTTTGGTTCACAAACAAACCAGTCACAAACAAACCAACAGAGCACACCGTCTCCACCAAGGAAGAGACAGGGGACTCCCCTGAGAAGGTGGCTAGTTCACCAACACAGGAGCCAGATATATGGAGAAACGTGACTCAAAGAAGTAGGAGGCCCAGGGTTCGCTCTGATTGTTTAGAAATACGCAATCGCTTTGAGGTCCTTTCCCCTAGCATGGAAGACGAAGAGCAGACTCCATTTGAGGATCTCTCCCTCATTACAGTCGATCAGGTATATGAAGACGAGGAGCAAAGGCAGTCCTCTGGGAATGTCCAGGCGACCTTGGAACCGACAGCTCACAGAAGAACCCCGACCAGACCTAAGAGGAGGCGTGTAGTGGTGATAGGGGATTCCCTACTGAGGGGAACAGAAGCAGTGATCTGTGGGCCTGACAAGATGTCTCGGGAAGTGTGCTGTCTCCCCGGGGCTAAGATCCAAGATGTAACTGAACGACTGCAAGGAATCATAAAACCCACTGACAAATACCCCTTCCTCTTGGTTCATGTGGGAACCAATGACACTGCAAGCAATAGCCTCCAGAAGATCAAAAGAGATTACGAGGCTCTGGGCAGGAAATTGAAGCAATTAAATGCACAAATTGTCATCTCATCTGTCCTCCCAGTTGAACGACGTGGCCCAGGGAGAGAGGGAAAAATAGTGGAAGTGAACAACTGGCTTCGCAAATGGTGCAAACAGGAACGGTTTGGATTCTTAGATCACGGAATGCAGTTTCTTGAAGATGGACTTCTGGCAAGCGATGGGCTGCACCTCACAACGGTTGGGAGGAATGTTTTTGCAAAAAATCTCAGAAACCTCATCAGGAGGGCTTTAAACTGACTAATGTGGGGGAGGGAGACAGTGCTCCTGAAGGTAGGAGTCTATCAATTGATGAAGATGATCATCCAAATGTCATAGACCGAATGGAGCAAAGAGCATGCAGACCTAGTGGTGGGAGGAGAAAATCCTTAAATAAGAGACACGGGGGAATGATTAATGGACTTCAATGTCTGTACACTAATGCGCAAAGCATGGGAAATAAACAAGATGAGCTTGAGCTCCTGGTACAGCAAACTAAATATGACATAATAGGAATCACTGAAACCTGGTGGGATAAATCCCACGATTGGAATGTAATAATGGAGGGATACAATCTATTTCAAAGAAACAGACCAGACAAGAAAGGAGGAGGAGTGGCGTTATATGTCAGGGATGTGTATACCTGTGAAGAGATCCAAGATTTAGAACCTCAAAGCCAAAGTGAGAGCATTTGGGTCAAAATTAAGGGAGAGAAGAATAACAGTGACCTCATTGTGGGAGTTTACTATAGATCCCCAAGCCAAACGGAGG